TCATTGGTTGTTAAATATTTACTAAAAATAAATATATAGACTGACAGAGATAGTAGGAACTGCAGATGCTGGAGAATCCGAGACAACAAGGTGCAGGGCTGGATGAACACAGCAGGCCAAGCAGCATCATAGGAGCAGAGAGGCTGACGTTTCGGGCCTAGACCCTTCATCAGAAAAGGGGGAGGGGAAGGGGGTTTTGAAATAAATAGGGAGAGAGTGGGAGGCGGATAGAAGAGGGATAGAGGAGAGGATAGGTGGAGAGGAAACAAACAGGTCGAAGAGGCGGGGATGGAGCCAGGAAAGGTGAGTGTAGGTAGGGAGTTAGGAAGGGGATAGGTCAGTCCAGGGAGGACGGACAGGTCAAGGGGGCGGGATGAGGTTGGTCGGTAGGAGATGGAGGTGCGGCTTGAGGTGGGAGGAGGGGATAGGTGGGAGGAAGAACAGGTTAGGGAGGCAGGGACGAGCTGGACTGGTTTTGGGATGCGGTTGGGGGAGGGGAGATTTTGAAACTTGTGAAATCCACATTGATACCATTGGGCTGCAGGGTTCCCAAGCGGAATATGAGTTGCTGTTCCTGCAACCTTCGGGTGGCATCGTTGTGGCACTGCAGGAGGCCCAGGATGGACATGTCGTCTGAGGAATGGGAGGGGGAGTTGAAATGGTTCGCGACTGGGAGGTGCAGTTCTTTGAATACTAATTTTGCCATCTGCCATGATGAGATCTGACCCATGCCCCGGAACATTAACCTGGTGTTACAGATTACTAAGCCAACTATGCCAATCCTTCACTAAAGCTACCTCTGTGAGAAGAAATAACCTTTCTCACTTTAAACTCTCAAAATCTTGCTTTTGGAAATTGAGATAATCAGTCTAAGGGAAAGAAAACATATAGTCTTGACATACAAAACAAACAAACTGATCACTGGCCAGAGAAAAACTCCTGATTTCTATCTACGACAGTACTGCAGGAAAGAATAGAAATGCTGGAAATGAGTAACATGTCCAACCATTGAAGAAGCTCTGCAGGTGCCGTTAAGGCCTGTATTATACATCACTTTTTTCTATTGTACCTGGGAAAGTGAAGTTCAGATTCTTTAACTGCTGTGTATATTGTTCACGCTCATTCTCTGCCTAAAAATCAGATATTTCCAAATATTAAAACATAAACCTGTCTTTTACAGTGGCCCATTCATCACCTGTGTAGTAGAATTTTCATTTCCTCCTTTCCTGCAGCTCTGTTAGAATGTCTTCTAAAGCTAGTCCCTGGGAACAGTTGGATGCTACAATCAATAATCTACTCATCAAACTTCAAGAATTACACCAGTCTGACACTCTAACACGTATCTCCTTTATCATCATCCTGACATTCATCTGTGAGTACCGGCTGAAATTGTTGGGTAGAAGTTTATTACAGGTTTGCTTTGTTTTGATTTGATTTATTAATATCACATGTACAGTGAAAAATTTTGTTTTGCATGCAGTACAGGCAGATCAGACCATACAAAGATCATGGAGTGACTGAACAGAGCGAGGAATACAAAATTACACTGCAAAGAAGGTGCACAAAAAGCAAGATCAACATTAGATTAGCAATTTGAAAGGTCCATTCAACAGTCTAATAACATCAGGGAAGAATCTGTTCTTGAACCTTTTTGTATGCATATTAAAGGTTTTGCATCTTCTGTCTGACGGAAGAAGTTGGACGAGATTATAACCAGAGTGGGAGGGGTCTTTGGTGATATTGGCTCAGATGTGATGTAGGTCATTGATAGAACACAAGTAGTTATTGAATCCCGCAGTACAAAGGAACCAACATTAACTATTCAAGATGGTTCACCTAAAAGCCAGAGTCCTGATCCTCTGGGTACAATAAAAGGACAGCTTCGCTGGACCACACCAAACAGTAGTCTCGTACAAGAGACATGTGATCCTTCTGACCACACGAAGCAAATGTTTACTGTTGAACATCCTGGAGCTGACTGGAAATAGGAGTGGGCTTAGTCAGACCAGCTGTTATGTCCATGACACCATGCCAGCTGGCAATACCTAAACAGGATTGAATTTCATAATTTTTAACTTTTAGAGTAGGTGAACTTGGCAGACTAGTCTCAGTAGGCAATCTGCTCCAAACTGAACAAACTGATATTGCTATTCAACTCTAATCCCTGGTTCAGTGTTATGCTAGATTGCATGCACCTCCCAGTAAGTGCTGAGATAGTGGAAGTTGCTACCACAAGTTGAAGTGAATGGCATAAATGTGTTTTAGGTTAAACTATGTGAGCACGAGAGACAGAAAGGAACAAAATGATAAGGTGACAAGCTGAATTGAAGGAAAGCTGAGAAGGCGTCTATGGAATGTAAATTCCAGCACTGAACTGTTTGGAACGAATGGCCTGCAGCTGTGTTGTAAATGTTTTTTGAGTGACGACTGGGCAATGCTATGAATTTTGCACCCAAGGTTATACGTTTCTCTCTTATTTTCAGGTACTTTTCTCCTGTTGCTTTTTATTCCTATCATTTGTTGTTGCTGTTCCTGCAATTGCGGAAAAAGAACTGGCAGAGTGAAACCCACATTCCATCCCTAACTATATGAATCCTCAGATGAGCATGACAACACATGAGCAATGGGCTTACCTGGCAGTGGTGTACAATGAAGATAGACTGTGCTGTTCATTTGTCATGCGCCACTTTGTGCACATCTAGGATGGGACAAAACACCTGGTCGAAGAGCTGTCTCCAATTGTTGGCCCTAATATGACAGTTTTTTGGTTGGATATCAAAGGACATCTCAAAACACACTGAAAACCCTGGACCTGATAAATATATACATGTGTATACCTTCAACCGTTATCAAATACTCCAAACCCTTCACAGTTATTTAAATCCATCAATACAGTGAACACCCTCACTCTCACTTTATTCAAGCACTTTTCACCAAATGGCAGGTCTTGACACCATTGATTCAAAAAGATATATATATATATAAAACAATTAACAATGTACTACACATCAGGAAGGACCAGCAACCTTCATCCTAGCCACCATCCTGGCCAAAGTGGGACTGAGGTTTATTCAGCTCAAAGCATATAATATAACCATAAACCAAAGGACAGCTAACACACCAGCTAATTTGCTCTGACCCTGGGGAGTATTTTTTACTGGCTACCAAAATAGCCGAGTTACTATAGGGGCCTCCCATATTCATGCACATGTATATTATTTACAATCCTATTAAGCTACATAGGAGCAACCCATGATCACAGTCACCAGTAACAACAGACCTCCTGCCACAACCTGGTCTTTTTCATTCTTAAGCCAACTTTCACAGTACCTGTTTTTAAATGTCAACTGTCACAATTGATATTGATGTTAAATGCAATGCTCTACTGAGCTCCATTATTATTAATTGCTGCTTTATCCCCAGCCTCACAAACAGCCCTTCAGTACAATTGCTTCTAATTGAATTATAAATAAGAAATTTTAAACAGAGTGTTTAATAAACTGTTGCAAGTAAATGAATGGCACTAATCTGTTCTTTACAGCAATCTAGTCAATGGATCAGATTTCCTCACCTTCCTCCAAATTAACTGATTGGTCAGAACTGAGCAGAGACAGTCCAGAAACAGAATACAGATCTTTCAGGAAAGTCACAGGTTCTCACTTCAAACTCCTGACTTTGGTAAAAATTTTGGTCTATAGACACTGCAGCAAGTTGAAACGGCTGTCCCAAATGGCTCACCCCAATACAATGGTTAAATTCTGATTTACCTAAAATCCATGCACAAGTTATTTCACCTATCAAAAGGTGGTTTCTGTAACTAATTCAGTTCTGCTGTCTGAAAGAGCACAGCTCACCACCACTGGAAAGCTTCAATTATTTTTCTCAGGTGACCTCAGACATCGACAGATAGGAAACAGTTACCTGAAAGGAATGTGGTGGGGTGGGATGGGGGGCTGGTTGTAAATCACAGCCAAGTCCAATCCTGTACCAAAAACAGAAAAGTGCATGAGATCACAGCGGGTCAGGCAGAGAGAAAGCAAGCTAATGTTTTGAGTCCAGATTACTCTTCTTCAGATCGCCTGCAGTAATTTGCTCCTCCAATATCATACCATGTATCTACGTGTACATGCAAACATGAGCAAGTTCATTGATCATTGCAATTACTGTCAGCATTGGAAACCTTGGTTGTTTTTGCCCTGCTCCAAAGCACAGGAGCTGAAAGATCAACGTTTAACACCTCAACAATTAAGTTATCAAAGATTAGGAATGGAGCGTGGATCTGAGATTGCACCGATTGCTTACCACTGAACCAGAAGAATTTCAGAGACTCAATGCTGTTAATTTCTCACGTAAATTAAGGACAATGATTATCTGTGCTTCATTAATCACAGAAATAGTTCATCTTTCTACAACAGTTCATCATGTCACCAAGCAGACCACGTTCAAATGCAACAAGATCTGGACAATATCCGGGCATGGGCTGTCAAGTAATGCTTGCGCCACACAAATGCCAGCCTAAGACTATCACCCATAAGAGACAATCTAACCACCACCCCATGACATTCAATGGTGTTACCATCAAACTATTATCATCCTGGGGGTTACCACTGACCAGAAACTCAACTGGACTCATCACAGGTATTGGCTGTGAGGGCAGATCAGAGGCTGGGAATACTGCGGCAGGTAACTCACCTCCTGACTCCCCAAAGCCTGTCCACCATCTACAAGGCACAAGTCAGGAGTGTGATGGAATACTCGCTACTTACCTGGATGAATACAGCTCCAACGACACTCAAGAGGCTTCACATCATCCAGACAAAGTAGCCTGCTGATTGGCACTACATCCACAAGCATCCACTCCCTCCATCACTGATGTTCAGTAGCAACAGTGTGTACGATCTACAAGATGCACTTCAGAAATTCACCAAAGATCCTCAGAGAGCACCTTCCAAACCCACGACCACTTCCATCTAGAAGGACAGCAGGTATACAGGAACAATGCCACATTCAAGTTCCCCTTCAAATCACTCACCACCCTGACTTGGAAATATATCACTTTTCCTTAACTGACACTGGGTCAAAATCTTAGAATACCCTCCCTAATGGCATTGTGGGTGCAGCCAGCAGATGGACTGCAGTGGTTCAAGAAGGTAGCTCACCAACACTTTCTCAAGGGCAACAAGGGTTGGGCAATAAATGCTGGCCAGCCAGTGACACCCACATCCCACAAATGAGTCTTAAGAAAGTATTCCAGAATCCCCCAGAACCACATCCAGTTAATTGTCTTTTGTATTCAGTTACATTGGGATCCTTCCTGGTATTTCATATCACAAGTTCATTACCCATTTGAGCCACAGGTTCCATCCAGCTTCCTGTCTCTTCTTCCTAACTTCTTCATTTTTAACCCATGTGTCTCCTAGGATTTGGACCCTTCAGCACAGTGATCAATTTTGTTAACTTCCATTGTAATCTTGAAAAAATTAGATCACTTCAAAGTCTCCAAAAAGAACAAGTCCAACCTCTCCGCAAGCTCTTCACTCAATTGACTGATTGATTTATTGCCACATGTACTGAAACACAGTGAAAAGCTTTGCTTATGAGCAGTATAGGCAGATCACAGCAAGCAAAGGATGTATAGATCAAAAAGACTTAGAGGCATACAAATTAAGTTATTTGAGGTGAGAGTCCGTTCAGTCTGATAACAGCCGGAGAGAAGCTGTTCCTGAACCTGCTCATGCGTGCGTGTGCGAGGTAGAGAGAGACAGACTTCTGCAAGTGGCAGTCTTCACCTAAACTGGGGGGCCTTGCACATGCAGCTGCAAGCCTACTAACACCTGTAAAAACCAGTAGCTTGGCAGATCACTAAACCACAAGTAGGTTTGGTGAATCCTTGCCACGTTCTGCACAAGACTTGTGTTACAGGAAGCTGCAGCAGCTGCCAAGGGCTGCAGCAGTAAAGAGGCAGCTTCATCTTTTCCTTATAATCCATATTATCACCTATTAAAATTCATAAACTATACTATCAGAAGGATAATAGGAATCCTATTGTGTACCTAGTTTTTTCTACTGTAAAGGTGATTCAATGAACATCATACTTTAAGAAACATTAAGTCACCACCTGACAGAATTTTAGTTCATTTATTCAGTTTAACAAAAAGAAGAAAAACACAAGGACGTAAATCAGAAATAGAAATACACAGCAGATCAAATAGAATTTCTAAACAGAAAAGATTGTGCTGACATTCCAGTTGTCTCTTCATGTAGCATCTTACAACAGGCAAACAGCAACTAATCTTATACACATATCATCTCACTGGGGCCTCTTTGCATTTCATGGGTCAGTGAGGTAAATTGGCTGGATGCCTGGTTTAAAATGCAAAGTGATGCCAACAGCATGAGTTAAATTCCCACACTGGCTATTGTTACCATGAGGCACTCTCCTTTTCAATCTCTTCCCATACCTGAGGCACAGTGACTGTCAGGTTAAAACACCACCAGTTGCCTCTCTATAATGAGGGTAGGTCTATGTGACTTTACCTTACCATTAGAAAATGGTAGAGAATTCACTTGGCTTGAACTGAAAAACAACTTTCACCCGCATTGACGTGAACACTTAATGCTGAAAACTCTTGGCAGTAACAATAGTAAGGCCACATTTATTAAAGAAACTCTCTTGCGAACAGCAGATAATATTTTACAATTTAACAAGAATTTCATATTACATAACTGAGAGTTTATTCCGCATTGAAATTGTAAAAGTCAATAGGCCTTGCCTGTTTTAGCCACATTACATCTGCTAAAAAAAAAAGCACCACCCAAACTAGACTTCAAATCCCAAGAACTAAAGGCTTGGCCACAGAATGAATCGAAAAGCAGGTACCACAATAATGAGGGAGGCAATGACCTCGTGGTATTATCATTCGACCATCCAGAATCCAGAAACCTGGATAATGCTCCAAGGGATTGGGCTCGAATCCCACCATTGTGGAATTTGAATTCAATAAAAATCTGGAATTAAGAGTCTAATGATGAACATTATTGGGAAAAACTCATCTGGACCTTTCGGAACTTCCTTCACTTAGAGGAGGAAATCTACCATCTTTACCTTGTCTGACCTACATTTGACTCCACAGCCACAGCAATATGGTTGATTCTTAACTGCCCTCTGAAATAGCCTGGCAAGCCATTCAGTTGCATAACAACTGCTACAAAGTGTCAAGAAAAATGCAAGAACACAGATCACCACTGTCTTCTCAAGGGCAACTAGGGATGGGGACTAAATGCTGGCCCAGCCAAAGATACCCAAGTCCCACAAGTGAATTTTTTTTTAAAAAGGTCATGGTAGCTAAAGTAAAACAGAAACTATAGGAGCACTAGATGGCATCACTTTTATCAAGTCCAAACTGTTGAATACCCATGCTTAAAGAATGGAATCAAAGAGTCAGGGTGATCAGGCTGGCAAATCATTCATTCCGGGGATCAGGATGAATCCCTATAATTAGAATCCAATTAGCCAGTGAGCATGACTGGGGAAAAAATTCAGTATAAACATCAGGGATCACACTAGCTTACAGAGATCAAGAAGATCCCAATAATTCAGTGCTGGAACTCGAAGACTGCTTTACATTGTAAAACAACAGGGTAGCAAAAATCCTGGAATGTGATGCCCAAGTTTCACAGAAATGAGCCATGAACTACCTGAAATTTGATCTGAGAAACTGAGCTTAAGCATTAAGGACTCAATAGTTAAAACTGAAATCAAAATTAACAAGGTGACATGTATTTAAGCTGAACATTCCTTATCAGCAAAAAGGAGGCCAGCATTAATTGCTGTGTTTAAGGATAGTGGGACATAAATAAACCATTTCTTATCTGGCATTGTGCCCTTTGATAAAAGGAACAAAATGAGAAAGTACAGAAGTAAAAATGGAATTTGACATTGCTTTGGTATACTGAGAGGTCCACTAAGATACTTGAAAAAGAGAAAACTTCTAACATGTTGAATCCATCTTTAATTTTTTTTAATTTTTGACTTGGAACTGAAGGTTGAGGTTAACAGTTGAACTTTGAACAGCTACTTGTTTCGACAGAGAACAGAACAAAGGCAGATATTTGCAGTTGAGAATTAGTCTGGAAGAATATGCAACTTAATTACTGTTAGAAGGGCACTGTAGACGAATCAGCCACAAAATTGTTGCTCTGCTCAGGGCTGGCCAACCACAGAGAATGGTCATGAGAAAGAAAAATAGGGGAGAAAACCAGAAACAAAAACAGAAGTTGCTGGAAAAACTCAGGAGGTCTGGCAGCATCTGGGGATAGGAATCAGAGTTAACATTTCAGATCTCATGACCCTTCTTTAGGACTTCATTTAATATTGGTTGGGACACTGGACACAACTTCCCTATTCTTCTCAGGAACAGTGAGATGGATCTTTTACATTGATTGAGGGGACATAACATCTCTTCTGAAACATGACATCTCTGACAGAGCAGCCCTTGTTCAGTTAGT